TCCTAGAGTCATGGTTCTCCACCCATACTTCAATCAACAAACAGATAGAATTGGACCCCATATACAAACCCATACAGATCAAAACTGGAAATGACACTACTCACCCTAACGGACCGGACAGTATAAATTCCAAGTGGAGTAGAATAGCATCGCTTCATTAGAGGCTCCACTGATGATGTCACCTAGCATGATGACGAAACATCTGAACTAAAACAAGCCAGTTCGGCAAACAAGTCAACAACCTCATCCACAACCTGAGCTACAGATCTTTGCCAAAACTTTAAACAGTATGGTCTAAATCTTAAAACCCCCTGGCAAAATCACTTTTAAGCTTCTGTTCTCCTTTCCAGAGATTGAAATTCCTGTCCTATGACATCTTTCATCTGAAAGAATTTTGAAGAAAGGAGCTTGTACCTCTCCCTTTCCATTTCTAGCTCCTTCGATCAGGTACTGTGTGATTCAAATGACCGAATACCCTGGAAGACCACAGGCAATCTGTATGCATTTGTACGTTGTGCTGTCAACACAGCACCAGTCCATTGCGGACTTGTTTAATTCTCGTGGTGGTGGGATGAAGACCTTCAATGAACAGTCATTTTCCACTTCAGGGGTCCAATTTGTGGCAGGGCAGGAAGAGAACCAACATTCTCTGAAAAACAGAACTGGGGTGGAAAAAGGGAGGTGATGAGTTCTTCATCTGCCACCATCTTGCCAATTAAGTGTTTTCCCTACCTCCACACTTTCCACAGGGGGAGAACATAAACTTGTGCACCATGGAAAGTTTTAGTGGCTACAATTATTCAACCTCCTCATGAGTTTTGTATAAATATATGACATCACATGTACAAGCTTGATAAAATGTGTACAAAGCTCATTTTACACACTTCTCTTGCTACACTTACAAATGAAGCAATGTGATCCCTCTAACATGCCTTCTCCAATTGTAACCTAAACAGTTGCTATTCACCAAAATGTTCGCATGTGTACTTAGAAACATTCTGCAAGTGTCACTCACACCACGGTAGAGGAGAATGTAATCTATGAGATTTGAATAATTCAATCCATGAGACAGCTTGGCTTCACTAAAGAGATTGCAATTGAAATCTGCCACAACCGCAACATCAATGAAAGCAAAACAGCCAGTGACTGTGACTCTTACTTCATAGGCGTCTGTCTTCTTTCAGGCTGAAAGTACTCTGTATATGCTTGAATAATGGCCAATCTTGTGTATAAGTTGACCAAACAAAGATTGGCTAAAAATACCCATAACTTTTTCAACATACCACTGGCTAGCTGCCTCTCCCACAAGCAGATTGTCTTTCCAACTCTCTCTCTCATCGATTCCCTGCCCAACTCTCACATTTACTACTTGCCTTCCCAAATCTACTATTCACTGTTTATTTGCGCAGTTCACATATTTGACACAGGAAATTTAGGGCAGCATGGTGGCTCAGTGGTTAGCACTGCTGCCTCAGAGTGCCAGGGACCCGCGTTCGATTCCACCCTCAGGCGTCTGTCTGTGAGGAGTTTACACATTCTCCTCATGTCTGCATGGGTTTCCTCTGGGTGCTCTGGTTTCCTCCCACAGTCCAAAGATCTGCAAGCTATGTGGATTGGCCATGCTAAATTGTCCATAGCGTTCAGGGATGTGTAGCTTAGGTGGGTTATGGGGGATAGGTCTGGGTGGGATGCTCCAAGGGTCAGTGTGGACTTGTTGGGCCGAAGGGCCTGTTTCTGCACTGGAGTCAGGCAGGGAACCAGAGAATGGGAGAGTCATGCAGGGAAACGGTGAATGGGAGAGTTGGGTGGGGAACTGGAGAATGGGACAATCTGGTTGGGAACCAGAGAATGGGCGAGTCAGGCAGGAAACTAATGGCTGGGAGAATCAGGTTGGGAACCGGAGAATGGGAGAGTCAGGCAGGAAACTAATGGCTGGGAGAGTCAGGCAGGGAACTGGGGAATGGGAGAGTCAGGCAGGGACCTGGGGAATGGGAGAGTCGGGGTGGGGGTTCTGGAGAATGGGAGATGTGGGCAGGAAGTGTTGAATGGGAGATTCGGGCAGGGAACTAGAGAATGGGAGAGTCGGGCGGGGAATTAGAGAATGGATGGGTCAGATTGCGAACTGCTGAGGGACATTTTACCCACCACGGTAGTCAAAGGATTGTTACTGGGCTATAGGTATTATTCATCCAGGACAGGGTTTATAATTGAAGTTTGAAACTCATGAATATATATACAAATATTTTTTAATTCATTCATGGTCCATGGGCCTCACTGACTAGGCTGGCATTTAATCACCATCTTTAACTGTCCAGAGGCCAGTTAAGAATTAACTACATTGCTATAGATCTGGAATCACATGCAGATCAGATTGGGTAAGTTTGGCAGATTTCCATTTCGTAACGACGTTAGTGCACCAGATGAGTTTTTAAATGGCCTTTATTCTGTATTTTTTATTGAATTCAAATTTTATCATTGCTATGGTGAGATTCCATTCAACGTTCCAAGCTCATTGGCCTAGATGACTAGCACAGCGAAAAGTAACACTGGACCATCGCTGCTTCCCATAATAACCATGTTCCTACAGGAATAATATAGGACACCCTTCAGCATCCTAAACCAACACTTCCACTGTGTGAAGCTGTCTAGAAGAGGCCTGTAGCACTCAATTAAGTGTGTATTATGATTTGTACTGATATGCTGCACACGACACCATGAAGGCATATGTTTCTATTACCTTATCAGATGAGAAGCTGAGGAGCAGCAGCATGATGGAAAACAGGTTGATAAGCAAATGGAGATGGAAGACAAAACTCAATAGCAACAGGGAGAGGAAAAAAGTTACAACGTAAATAATACTTTCCTGCATAGAATCTAACAGACAAATAAAAACACAGAAGGAGCAAGAGAAGGCTCAACCATCAACTTGATCATAGCTGATCATGGGTTTCAATTCCACTCTCTGACCCACTCACTATGTCACTTAATTCCCTGAAAGACCAACAATCTATCTATCTCAGCCTTCTATAGTCAATGATACTGCAACCACATTCTCTGGGGTGAAAAATTCCAAGATTTCCAACTCTCTTAGTGAAAACATTTCTCTTGATCTCAGGCCTAAATGATTGTTTTCCTTATTCTGAAATAATGAACGTTGTTCTAGATTTGTCAGCCAGAGAAAACAGACTCTCAGTGTCTACATTGTGATGCCCCTGCATAATACAACTGCTAGGTTTTCCGAAATTGCAAAAGTGATGATGTTTCAGGATAGTTCATAGGCTATGAAATCCCTAAGTATATAAAGGATGCTGTGTGGTGGATTTTTACTTTCAATATCTAGTTAATAATCTGGTACAATAGAAAAATATCAAATACTGAGTAAAAATTGAACAAAGACAATTGAGTCAAGATTCATGCACAAATCCTTTCACTTCGCGTAACCTGTCCAAAGCAATAACTGAAGTTTCTCAAGTGCACAGATGAAATTTTGTAACAGTGACATTCAGCCAAAATACTCCTTCAAAATCTGTAATTGGTTTCTAGACAGACATGCTGTCAAGTTGATGAACTATTTCTTTTTATTAATTTACACACATACAAGAAGACACTTGCCTCAGTTTTGCAACCTTCATCAGCAGGTTGGAAAATGAGTCCAAAAACAGTCACTTTTCAAAACCATGAAACACAAGGTTCATAAGATATGTTGACAGACATGAAATCTCAGAAGTTCATTTAAATACTGCAAATACCTAGCTACCCAAGCGCATTTATATTATCAGTAAAAAATACAAGTATTTCTTGACATTTGATACCAAATTCATCCAACTTGAACTTTAATGAAGCATGTATAAATTTGAAGTTCTTTTAAGAACTCAGAAGTATTCTGACTCCAGCATTTCATTCAAAAGGTTAACTTGTCTTTCCCCCTGAGTTGATGGTTAATCTACTGAGCTTTGGAAAGGAAGTGAAGAGAAAAATTTGAGGTGTATAGAATGGATGCCTGAAGCGCTGCTAACTTTGATAAATGAGTGATAATGTATTGATAATGTATTCTCATAGCCCAAAAGCTTATGTTAAACACACCTCACTGATTACAGTTCTTTAATCAATCTTCTATTCATGCAACTTCATTCTCTTTAATATTGCTTTACACTGAATCTACATTGCTTTGCATTGCATCTACGTGTATTTAATGTCTCACCTTATCAAATTACTTTTGAAAACAGATATACAAAATTTGCACTGCATTTACTTTATTAATGCACACAGTACACAGGAAGGTAGGACTCAGAAGCAGGATTAAGGCTATTCAGTTCCTTTAGCTTGCTCCACCAGTCCATTTCCTCAAAGAATTACTTTAAATCTATCATATTGATCTCCCTTTTACAAATTGGTGTTGCTTGCCCTGAATCAACACATGTCTTTCTAACAGGGTATTAGTTTTGTGCCATATGATAGTTCCTAGAGGCTGATTTATTACTGTCACTGTGACTGACTAATCCTTACTTCTTGGTTTGACTTTTCCTTTTTGAAGAGAAGTGTTACTTGGTAGCTCTCAGTCCTCCAACATACTTCCTATATCCACCAATGCTTCTCTGAATTCCCCAGCATTCTAGAATTTACATGAACAGGCTCTGTTTTTTTTTCTAATGTTGAATTCTTAACATTTTTTCAGTACTACTTCCCTATGTACAGTTTGTTTTAAGGAATAGGGGAAGGAGCTGAACTTGAACCTAATTGGCTAGGTTTTGAACTTCACTATCTGTGAAGTCGTGTGACAGATTGCCCCGCCACCCCCCACCCCTTCTAATAGAGTCATAGGTCGTCAATTGGATGGATTGCATCAATGGTGAAAGAATTGAGTCAATAGATCACCTTAGCCAGTGAAGACAAAAGGGTGCCACTCATTTATTTTAGTGCCAGGTGTCAGCCATTTTTAATTTGCTTATCACAGGTCTGAAAGAACAGTGTTCCAAATGCAACCACAATGGCCAACTGACCTGATTGGCAATGTAGGGTCTGCTGTATCCCACCATTCTTTGGGAGGGCTAATATACATACACCAGAGCTCCCAGGTGTAACCATGGGCACAGTTCTCATAACGCTGAACCTCAAATGTTTTGTGCTTGATGTTGTCAATAGAGGGAAGGATAATTCGCTTTCTGTCATCTTTAATTCTGGCCAGGACTGGTTCAACCCTGAAAAGAGAAAATGAAAATAAATTAAAATACTGCTAGCATTGTATAAAATTATAATACTCCAGAAATGCAGCCAAGGCCAATATGATATCAAAACTTATCCAAAGATTGTTAGTTGAGATGTCCTAGTGATAATGCAATTGTTTCAATTATTAAATTATCCTTCGATGTTTGAAAAGCTATTTCTTACATAAGGAAATACAAATTGAATTGTAAACATTTGAATTGTTTGAGTATCATTGTGGGAGAAGGGGGAGAAAAAAGGCCATTGTTGATGCTTAGTTTGTCTCAACCTTAATTTTGTCCTTCAGTATTAAACTTTACTCCTAAAATGATAGAAACAGACTATAAACTGACCCAAAATGTTGAACGCTCACTTTACATAGGCAATGTGCAGCCAGATAATTCAACTAAAGACATTGCAGGGGACCCTTGTTTAAGTGTCACTAAAGAGGGTGTGATATCCTATTGCACATAATCCGGTGTAGGAGGGTGTTAAAGTCCTATGGAAGCAGCTGGGTCGACTGGAGTGGAGCATGGGTGCAAGGATAGAGGATGGTGAGGAATTCAATACTTGGGTGGTCTCAAACACACTAAGGTTGTTTTTGGGCAGTGGAAAAAGAGCTTTGAAATTATAAAAATTTTCTCAGCCATTCTCTGAGTTGTCCCTTGCCACTTGTCAGCAAATTGGTCTCCTGCAACCAATATAAGACATTTGTATGATTGACTTATTTTGGGTGGATGCTTTCCCATGTGTATGCCTGAAACTTTCATCAGATGGTTTTGTGTATCAATAGGCTGACTGAATGGCTTCTGAGTTTCAGTTCCCAACCACGATACTTTTATAGCATTAACTGTCAGCCAGCAATACAAAATAATTTCCATACCCGCTCACAAGAGCTATTAAGCATTTTGTGCAAATGAACTGTACGTTAAGGGGGATTTGTTTAAAATATGTTTCATGTCACTGATGCTTGTCTTCTGCTTGTACTGTAGTAGTCACTAAAGTCCCAGAGGACCATAGGGCTGCTACTCATTACAGAAAAGCAACTGGTGTTGAATTTAACCTGAGGGTCACCACACTTCAGGCGAGGGGAGAGGTTGAGAAGGTAGGGCATTTATGGTGACCTCAGCCAGCATGGGAATTGAAGTGGTGTTGTTGGCACACTCTGCATACAAATCAGCCATCCAGCAAACTGAGCAAACTGTCTTCCCCGCTTGCACTAAGGAACAGCTAAATCCGGGATATAACTGTACATCTGCCTAACTCAATCCTTTACATTGAATCATTAAGAATGCATTGCACAATCTATGGGAATAGAATTAGGAACAGTCTTCAAGTAAGGGTATGGCATTCTACAATGCAACAAAGTGGTGCTAGATGTCTGTGTTTGAGAAAATGAATGAGCAGCTAATTAAACAAAGGCAGAAAGAGGACGTGATGCTAGGCATTAGTTTGGGAAGGCCCCCTCTCTCACTCTTCCCTTCTGCCTCTGTTAGTTTCAGGCTTAAAATCTTGTGTGGGTTTTCCTTGGATCCAGTTAATTATTACATGTTAGATGTTTGCGCTCTTCTCTGCGTGCATTGATGCTGATTCAGTACAACTTTTGTTTTGGAGTCAGACAGAAAAATGGACATTTATTTTAGAAGTGGATAATGACAAGGCTTCCAATTCAAGTGTTCAGAATAGCTGCAGCTTCCTGTGAACATATAACATCCAGATAATCCTGTGTTGGCATCATACTTAACACTAAGCACAGAACTGGGGCTATAGTTAGGGCTTTAGGCCAAATAGTGAGGTAGGGGTGGATTTCCTTGCATAGAAATTGATAAAGAAAAAGGTAAGATTGCATCTTAGTGATAGGACTGAATGTTACCAGAAAATAAAAGAGCGAGACAGAATGTGTGAATGTCATATTGTACCAAGAAACAATAAAGGTGTAGGCAAATTTCAAAATAGAACAAACTTAATAGCTTTGTATCTTCATTCATGAAGCATTCAGAATAAGATAGACAAACTGACAGTGCAAATTGTGGTAAATGAGTATGATTTCATAGCTGTTATGTAAAATGGTTATAATGAGATCAAAACTGGAAACTTAACATTCAGGGAAGATATTTGACTTTTTAGAGAGAGAGAGGAGGAATGGAAAAGGGAGTGGGATAGTGCTATGAATAAGAGACGAAATGAAGACAATTGTGAGGAATTATCTAGGCTCGCATGACATACAGTTCATTTGGATGGACATAAAAAACAGCAAGGGAAAGATAACACTGGTGTGAGTAGTGTACAGACTGCCAAACAATAGCCACTCTGTGGGAAAGGCTATAAATCAACAAATAATAGGTGCATGTAAAAAAAAAGCAATATTTATAAATGAATATAATCTTCATATTAATTGGGGCAATCCAATTGGAAAGGGTAGATACGACAACAAATTCATAGAGTGCGTTTGGAATAGTTTCCTGGAGTAATATGTCATAGAGCCAACCAGGGAGCAGGTTATCTTGGATCTGGTAATAGTTAATGAGGCAGGCTTAATAAATGACCTTAGAGTAAAAGATCCTCGAGGAAGTAATGATCATAACATGATTGAATTTAATATTTAGTCTGAAAATGAGCAACTTGGGTGGGAAACAACTGTATTTAACTTAAATAAAGGGAATTACAATGAAATGAGAATAGTTAGCTAAAACGAACTGGGCAGATAGATTAGCAAGAATGACAGGAAGTAAACAGTGGTAGACATTTAAGAAGGTAATTCATGACTCTCAGCAAAAATAATCCCAGTAAGGAAGAAGGATTCTGAGATTCAACCATGGCTAACCAAGGAAGTTAAGGAGAGTATTAAGTTGAAAGAAAAAACATATAAGGAGGTCAAAGTCAACAATAGCCTCAAAGACAAGGATAAGTACAGCTTGTATCAAAGAAAGACTAAAAAGATAATAAGGACAGAGAAAGTAAACTATGAGGGCAAACTAGCCAGGAACATAAGAACTGGCAGTAAGTGCTTCTTTAAATATTTAAAGGAAAAGAGAGATCAAAGTGAGAATTGGCTCCTTAGAAAATTAATCTGGGGAGATGGTTATGGGGCACAAGGAAATGGCAGAGGAGTTAAACAGATAGTTTGCATTAATCTTTTACAGTGGGGGATTCTTTGAATATAACATTAATACTAAAGAACACAGGAGAGAAATTAAGTACCATTACGATCACCGAAGATGTACTATTAGATAAACACAGGGGCTATAAACAGATAAGTCCCCTGGCCCTGATTGCTTGCGTCCTAGGATCCTTGGAGAAGTAGCTACAGAGATAATTGGTTATAATTTTCCAAAAATCCTTGGATTCTAGACAAGTGCCAGAGGATTAGAAAACTGCTAATATGACAGCCCTATTCAAAAAGGAAAGGAGACAAGAAGCAGGTAACTATGGGCTGATTAGTCTACCATCCATTGTTGGAAAAGTACTGGAATCAATTATTAAGGAAGTAATAACAGAACAATCAAAAAATCAAAATCTAATCAAGCAGAGTCAGCAGGTGTCATGAAAGGAAAATTGCATCTGACTAATTTATTTGAGACTTTTTTAGGATGTCTCAACCAAATTGGACAGAAGGGAACCAGTAGATGTGTTATATTTGGACTTCCAGAAGGCATTCTATAAGGTAGCTCCCAAAAGATTAAGTCTTAAGATAAGAGCCCATAGTGTTGGAGGTGGTATATTGGCAAGGATAAAGAATTAGCTAATGGGCAGGAAATAACAAGTGAGGATGGGGAGTGCTTTTTCAAGTTGGTGACCGTGACCAGAGGTGTTCCGCAGGAATCAGTGCAGGAGGAAAGGCAGGTTGTGAGAGGGATACAAACAGTTTATAGAGAGATATTGATAGGTTACATAAGTGATCAAAAAGTTGGCAAATGGAGTATATTGTTGGAAAATAGGAGTTGTCCATATTGGAAGGGAGAACGAAAGAACAGAATATTATTTAAATGGAGAAAAACTGCAGAAAACTGCAACACAAAAGGACTTAAGGATGCATGAAACACAGAAAGCTAACATGCAGGTACAGCAGGTAGTAAGGAAAGGTAAAAGAATGTTGGCCTTATTTCAAGGGAGTTAAAGTATAAAAGTAGGGAAGCCTTACTGCAACTGTACATAGTACTGGTGAGACCACATCTGGATACTGTGAGCAGTTTTGGTCTCCTTATTTAAGGAAAGATATCATTTCAATGAAAGCCATTCAGAGAAGGTTCACTAGGATGATCCACAATATGGTGGGATTGTCTTATGGACAAAGGCTAAACAGGTTGGAACTCACTGGAGTTTAGAAAAATGAGAGATGATCTTATTGAAACATATAGGAATCTTAGGGGCTTGACAGGGTAGATGCTGAGTTGATGTTTCCCCTCATGGGAGGGTCTAGGATCAGAGGGCATAGAATCAGAATAAAGAGGCACTAATTTAAGACTGAGATGAGGGAGAATTTCTTCTCTGAAGGTTGTGAGTCTTGAGAACTTCTTGCCACAGAGGGCTGTAGGGACAGAGTCCTTATCTATATTTAAGGCTGAGATAGATAGATTCTTGATTAGTAATCAAGGGTTACAGGGAAAGGGCAAGAAAGTGAATGTGAGGAATGCTGGATCAGTCATGATCCTACTAAATGGTAGATTAGGCTCGAGGGGCTGAATGGCCTCCTCCTGATCCTATTTTTTGTGGTTTTATGGTCTTACATACCAGCAAACAAGACGCCCTGTGCAATGTAGGGATGACCGTACTTTCAAAAATACATGAGTAGTTGTCAGAATGCAGTGTATTTCCCTCAGTGATGCTGCTTCCAATTTATACTGAAATTCTCTTCATAGATAACTACATCCGCTGAAGCATTTCTGTTCACAGGGGTCAGATTTAACTTGCTTACTTTGCAATGGCAACTAGGACTTAAACACTGCTTCACCATTAACAACATTGGAATTGAAAAGACTGCCTCTGAGAAGCTTTC